AAAAATACTTAAAATATTAAAAAAATTCAATAAAAACAATATAACACGGAAAACAAGAAAATATAATTTTCTCAAAAGAGTTTTTGGAAAACTCTAACCTAGCATAGTGATTGTGGTTTTGAGATAGCTTCATATATATACAGTCACAAAATGGTTTGAATAAATTCAACAGTATTTTTCTGTCGCAAAAAAAATTAAAAAAAACAATGTCGTCTTACTCTTTTGATATAACATTTCTCTTTTCATTCATTTTTTCATCTTCCTGTCTCTCTGTCTCTATCTCTCTCTTTTCTCTTTATCTCTTTTCATTCATTTCTCTCTATCTCTATCTCTCTCTCTCTCTTTCTATGTCTGCCTGTTTCTCTCTCTCTCATTTTCTCTCTGTGTCTCTCGCCTATCTCTCTTCTCTCTATCTCTCTCATTTGTTTTCTGTAACGCCCTCAAAATAACAACATTAAACCCATCAGATAAGACATGCATTTACATATAAACTAACCACATTCTTTTATTCATCAAAGTTCCATTACATAAGTATTACATGTTAACATCAAAACAAAATGCCCTACGGGCTTACAGCTTTCCAAGTTAACACTTGGTTACAACAAAGAGTACTAACTCGTTTACACCGCTCATCTCTTGTTTCTCTCTCTTTTTCTATCTTTCCATCTCTTTCTTTCTTTCTCTCTCTATCTCTTTTTCTGTCTATCTCTCTCTCCTTGTCTCTCTCTCACTCATCACTCCTCTCTCTCTCTGTGTCTATTTGTCTATTTGTCTATTTCTCCCTCACTATGTTCGCCTTGCTCACTCTCTTACTCTTATCTTCTCTATTTATCGAGCTCCTTCTCGATTTATCGATCCACTATAAGAAAATACACTTTTAGCAACCACTTTGTCTATCTCTCTCTCTCGCTCATCACTCTATCTCTGTGTCTCTCTCTCTATCTCTCTTCTTTATCTGTCTCTCATAAAATTAAAATATTTTTTAAATATTTTAATTTTTAAAATATTTAAAAAATTGATTTGAATTAAGTTTTGAACAGAGTTTTGAATTATCTGTCTTCTTTATTTATTGAGCTCCCTATCGATTTATCGATCCACTACAAGAAAATGCACTTTTAGCGACCACTGTCTCTTTCTCGCTCATCACTCTGTCTCTCTATCTCTTTTCTCTATTCATCTCTCACTCATCTTTCTCTCTCACTACCCATAATCTCTACCACATTTACCACTACTGCAAATGCCATTCAACTACCACCACTCTTCTCTTTCTCTCTTTCACTCATCACTCTTATTTCTCTGTCTGTTTGTCTATCTATCTGTTTGTCTGTTTGTCTGTGCGTCTGTGTCTTTCGTTTATCTTTCTTCTCTCTATCTCTTTCATTTGTCTTCTCTCTATGTCTCCCTCGCTCATCTCTCTTCTCTCTATCTCTCGCATCTCTTTTCTCTCTCTGTCTCTCTCGTTCATCTCTCTTCTCTCTATCTCTCTATTTTTCTATTCTCTCTATCGTTCATCTCTTTTCGCTATCTTTCTATGTGTCTCTCTCATCTCTTGTTTATCTCTATTTTTCTAGATGTCTGTCTCTATCTATTTCTCTCTTTGTCTCTCCCTATATCTCTTTCTCTCTTTATCTCTCTCTTACTCATCACTCTGTCTTTCTCTCTCCTCTATCTGTCTCTCACTCATTTCTCTCTCTCACCACCCATCTCCTCTACCATCTTCACCACTACTGCAAACACCATTCCACCACCACCATTACTTCTACTGTAGCCACTTCACCTCTACCACTACCATTACTACTATTATCGCCACCACTCCACTACCACCATCCACTACTACCACTACTACTACCATTACCTCTCATTTACCATAGCCACTCCATCTCCTCTACCACTACCACAACTCCACCACTAATCTCTTTCGCCATCACCATCACTACCGCCACCACCACTATCACCTCTTATCCACCACCTTCACCACTACTACCGCTTCCTCTTCTCTACCACAAAAAAAATATTTTTCATTGACCACAAAAAATTAATTTTATTTTAACAGAATATTTTCCCTACTTCTATCAAATAAAAAAATAATAATAATTTTTTTTATTAAAATAAAAATAAAACAAATAAATTTTCAACCTTAGTAACTAAAAAAAAAACAAAAAAAAATAAAAAAAAAATTCATTAACTAGAAAAAAAATTATTTTAACAAAAAATAATTTTTTTTAAAAGATAGCCGTTTTGTTGTTTAAATATTCATTTGTGACGGAAACCAAAAAAAATAATATTCCCGCTCGATTTTCCACCCCTCCTCATTTTTTTCCATTCCCGCTTGGGTTCCCCCCTCCATAATCTTTTGAACCAAAATCCCCAATCTCAAAAAACAAAAATCCCCTTCAACCAAAAATCCTTAACCTTTTCTTACGGCTCTCTCTTTCTCTCTCTCTCTCTCTCTCTCTCCCTCTCTCTCTCTCCCCCTCTCGTTTATCTCTGCACCGATCTCGTTCATCTCTGCACCGATCACTCTCTCACTCTCTCGTTGTTCATCTCATCGATTCGCACCGATCATCGCACCGCCGATCTACTCACAGGTAAACTCTCTCTCTCAATCTCTGTCTTTCTCTCTCTCTCGGCCCGATGGTTGTTTTATATATATATATCAGATATATCTCTGATCTAATCTGTCTCCCTCACTCTCTCATCTCATCAGATCAGTCTCATCTCTGTCCCTCCCTCTCTAGCCCCGATAGACTCACACTGTCTCACAGGTAAGCCTCTCTCTCTCTCTCTCTCTCCTTGATCTCTCATCTCTGCACTGCACCGATTGAATCTGTGTGTGTAATGTCTCCCTCATTCAGTGATGTCTGTAATATCTGTATATTAATCTGAATCTGAAATGTTGATCTTAGTTGATCACACTGTGTAATCTGAAATCTGATCTTAGTTGTGTCTCACACTGTGTAATGTTGATCTTAGTTGTGAAATCTGAAATCTGTATGTTAATTTGGGAATGAATTTGGGAATCCCTGATTTTACATATTTTACATATTTGGGAATCCCTGATTTTACATATTTTACATATTTCTACTGTGTAATCTGAAATCTGATCATATTTCTACAATGTACGAGTTTGTGGAGACAATGAATTTGGGAATCCTTGATTTTATTCCTAATTTGTTACAACTGCAGATGGCAAGGTTGAATGAAGGATTATCACTCTTTGATGCAATACTTATTGTTCCTATGTTTCAGATTGCTTGGACTTTCTTCTCCATTTGTACAGGATTTGTATACTTTCAGGAATATCAGGCACGGGATTTTCTGTCTCTAAATCTCTCTGTCCCATTGCACGATCATGCGTGAATCTCGACACATGATTTGCATTGGGATAGAGAAACTAAGTGATTTAGAGACAAAAAATCTCGTGCCATGTATATGTAATGTTTTACTTTATGCATTGAAGAATTTGTTTATGAAAACATGAGATTGAATATGGAAATATTTGAATAGGTTATGGGTTTCAAACAAAGCAGAGATACAGATTTGGGTGGTTCAGCATGAAGCTCAAGATGGTGGGAGGTGACTCTGCTGGTGTTGTGGCAGCTTATTATGTATGATTGATGATTATACAGATTATTACCAAATTTGCCCTTAGCAGATTTTGTTTTTATTTATTTTTGGGAAATAACATGAAGGGTAAAAATGTAAATTTACGCAGATGTGCTCGGAGAACGGGGCGGGGCCGACGAGAGATGAGTTGGATATTGAGTTTTTGGGGAACAGAACAGGGCAGCCGTACCTCATTCAGACCAACGTTTACAAGAATGGAACTGGAAACCAAGAGATGAGGCACCAGCTTTGGTTTGATCCCACTGAGGACTTTCACTCCTATTCTATCCTCTGGAATTCTCACCAGATTCTGTGAGTCTCTCTATTAATTCATTGATTTGTTACTACTATTTTTTTAACTTCAAATTGTCAAAGACTTGCACCATATAATTTATTTCTCTCTAGTCCACATTCCGGGTATAACAGTTCAGTCCAACACATTATGCCACCTACGTTATATTTTTTTGTAAATCAAAGTTTTAGGTTTTGTTGACTTATTAACCCATCAAATATTGGGCTGAAAATTTTTTGTTGGATCTAAAATTGGGTTTGGAAATAGGTAGATAAAATTTGAACTATTACCTTTTAAAAAATATTGACGTGGCGAGCATGAGGTGCTCAAACTAGACATCCAATTCGGGTAGATTACCTTTCTTATTGGCATTCACGAGACAATAATACTACAAACTTACAAAAAATGTGTAGAAAAATATGCAAAATTTGAATTAGATTAATCCTGGGTGTAGCCTATTTAATAATATAATACTAAGGTTTAAATCTATACTACAAATTTAAATTTTGAGCAATGTCGTAACATTCCAAGGTGGATGTTTGACCCCTAGACTAATAAGGTTGATAAATACCTAAACAGAATCTAACTCAATTCATAAATGAATTACACCTCCATAACAGTAGCTTAATCTGAGATCAAGTTTAACCAAGCATCAATCTATGGTCAATAAGTTGCTAGTAAGAAATATAACGCAAATCCCTTTATTTTTATTTATGTTTTTTATATGGTTTCAAAGCGCGGAAACAATATTTTCATATATGGGTAAAAGTTTCGTAGATCTTGCTGGGTTCAAAGCACGGAAACAACATTTCCATACATGGTGGATGGTACTCGTGAACACACACGCCTTTCCTCATATGCCATCATAGTTGGGGATAGCTGATTTTTAAGTTGTCATATGAAAATGAGCAAAACTTGGTCCTAATGACAAGGGTAATGCTGGATAATTAATTCAATGAAGCACTTATTAATTATAATTTCAAATTTTTTCTTATCGTAATTAACAAAATAAGATGATAATAAAAGGAACAAAAACAACTGTAGTGAGCTCAGCTTTGGTTTGAGACTGAACCAGACCAGATGAAATCAAGTTGTACTTCTTGACATAATGGGTCGGTGTTCTTTCCTGGTTATGTAAAACTGGGATAGCTAATTTATTCAAATAATTGGGATCAAGCGAGAGCAATTTGCTCTGGGGCAAATTAAGGTCAAATATCTTACTCAGTTGCTCCATGTGGACTTGACGGTTAGAGATGTCCATGTGGTAGGAATCATGCATGATGTATCCTGTAGAAAAAAGTGTTGCACCTTTGATGTTTACTCAATATTAACCCGCTTTAGTTTAATCTGTTGGCATATGTCCAGTCTTGCTTCTCTTGAATTCACACACATTGGCAGACTATTGACCGTTGCTTAAGCAGGTATTTGGTGCTCGAAGGACAACAATGTTCATATTAGGAATGATTTCTGTATTCATAGGCATTTCTTTGCTGGCACCAGACGAGGCAAAAGGTATAGTTGTGGGTCATGGATATAGTTGTGGGTCATGATTTCTGTACTCATAGGCATTTCTTTCCATTAGAGCTATTAGAACTCCAATATTAGAGCTCTAAAGCATTTATATCGTCTGCCTCTCATCTTTCCTAACAACCATAGATCATAAATTATTGCACAAAAAATACAGAAAATAAAAAAAAAATTTAATTTTTAGTGGACACCCTGTTTTTTTTATTTTTTCGTAAAATTTTTTTCGTTACACCTGATTAACTACCATATATAGAGTTAATTGTAATCACATATTAGTATTCTTCTCACAATTCTTTATGATGGACCCTCTGCATGTGAGTTCCTACAAAATAAATTTGTGTATTCTACAATCCAAGACAGGTAGGAACCCTTTAAGTCCAACCCTTCCCACTCCCATCAGACATGAAAAAATTCCCCAGGTATATTACAATAAGAGTTTATTACACTATTTTGGACTACATTGAATTCCATTATATTATTATTATTTTTTTTTTTTTTTGTGAGCAGGGAAAGCTTTGGTTTCTCCAATTGAGAGATATGCAGTTGTTCCTGATGACAACGTAAGTGTTATTTCCACAGTCTTCATTGTCTTCATTACTGGTGTTTAAATAGTTGGTTTCTCCAAAAGATTATAATTTGCAACTGTTATCTATTTATTTGTAGGTCAAAAGGATAAATTTTGCCGAGGGGAAGATCTGATTCTAGAAGTAAGGAATTTTGAGCTTGATTTTTGAAATAGGCTCAAAATTGAGATCTTGTTGGAAATTTTTTAATTTTTGTAAAAGCATTTAAATATCCAATGTGCTGATTGGTGAATTTTAGATTTTATTTTATTATTTTTTTTTTTTTAGGATTTGGGTGAATTTTATAATTTAAATATGCTTTTATGAATATGTACAGTTTAATAGTTCTTTGTAAAATATTGAATTTGATGGTTTGATCAATTTAAATTTTTATTTTTATTTTTTGTTATGATGTTTTTGTGAATAGAATGTAAATAATCAGCTCTTAGAGAGAGAGATGGCACCACCGTCGGAAAAAATAGAAAATTTTAATATTTTTATTAATTTTGTTATAGGTTTTACTTTTTGCGACAACATTATACTGTCGCAAAAAATAGAAATTTTATTATTTAAAATAGAAATTTTTTTATTTTTTAATATTTTTTGCGACGGCATTACACTGTCGCAAAAAATAGAAAATTTCATATTTTTTATATTTTCTGCGACGGCACCACACCGTCGCAAAAAGTAGTGCTTTTTTTTTTAAAAAAAAGACTATTGGCGACGGTATTTTTTGCCGTCTCAAATAACATTTTTAGTGACGGTAAAATAGGGCCGTCACAAAAAAGTCAAGAAATTTCAAACGTTATTAGCGACTGCACGGTGCCGTCGCAAAAAGGCAAAAAATGTCGTCGCAAAACATTAGCGACGGCACTTACAGTCGCAAAAACTCTTTTGCAACCCCTGCAGTTGCGACCCCCCTCTTGCCGTCGCAAAAAGTCATTTTGCCGTCGCAAAAAGTATTAGCGACGGCATTAGGAGTATTAGCGACGGTATTTTACCGTCGCAAAAAATTAATTTTTTTGTAGTGCCCCTTCCCTTTTGCTCTTATGTTTCTCTCTCTTCTCCAGTGATGTGTCATGGTTTAATTTGAGTTCTTCACTAATGCATTGGTTTAATCAAATTTTAAAAGCCATATATTCATTACCAATATATTGATATACAATATATAAAAAAGTAAATAAAACTCAATAAACTAATGTATTGATAACACATCAGATCACCACCTTTCTTGTGGCATGACATACCACTAGCGACACACCTCTCTCTCGTGGAAGCCATGCTGCAGCAATCTTGCCACTACCTCAAGATAGCTTTACGGATGGAAATATACAATACAATCCTCACATATATTAATGTATAAGTAGGAGTTGTTAAAATAATTTTTTGCGTAAAATAAATAAGTTGAAATCAAATCAAACAAATAAAATAAATTAATTACAGAATTTATTTACCAAAACGAATAAATTTAAAAGATCAAGTCGAGTGTGTGACACTCTATCCTTAAGACAGATTTGTCCTGCTACGGTGCTTACGGATAAATGGTATCTATCTCCCAAGATACAATGATCTTCACAAATTGTAGTAGCACTCCAAACAATTTGTACGGCGAACCAAACTTATGTTCTATACTCTCTGAGTTTTTTCCTAAAATAATATGAAGAATATACCTCTGCAAGAGAGCAAAAGGAATGCAAGAAGATGATTTTCAGAATGTCTTGACTACTGGAAATGGCCTAGTATATATAAGGCCGAACAAGTATGAAATTCAAACCCGAACAGATCTATTTTAAAATGAACAAGTGCAGTAACTGTTTGAGCAGATAACTGCTAGCAGTTTCAATCTATTGGAAACTGCTAGCTATTTAAAACATGTCTTGAAAAAACCAAATCTGTTTGGTCTGTTTGAACCTGGATCGAAAGAGGAATTGTTTTGGACAGAAAATTTTGTTTAGGAAAATTAATTTTTCCCGCAAGAATTTTTGAAAAAAATTCAAATAAATTTTTATCCAAAAAATTAATGTTAGAACCGACCCAACCCACACCCGGCTCGGTTCGGCCAGTCGGACGGACAGAGGCGGCAGGCGCGCGCGTATGTGGTGGTTTGGGCTAAGGCCGATTTTGTCCATAACTTCTCCTTTCTACAAACTTGGGGTGCCCCTTGTGGCCTAACCCAAGTGTTGTCACCTAGAACTTATATACTCACAAAAGTTCTCTTAAGTTTTTAATGTGGGATAACCATTTCAAAAAAACCAACATTTTACTTCTTCAATTTCCTATTCCACGAACTCGAAAATGATGTCAACTTCCCATTCACTCATAAATGGTTTTGACAAACCGTCTTCACCGTGTGATGTGCTACGCGATAAGGAACACGTCACCGCTTTAGACCTACCCCAAAAGACGTTTGGAACCTACTCAAATTTAGGCTCAAAGTTAACCCAAAATAAGCCTATAAAAATCATATTTTTCTAACAATCCACCACATGAATGGAATTTGACAGAGAAAAAATGCAACAACAGGATCTAATTACAGAAAGTACAAAAATTGAGAATATTCTGCAAATGATTGGTAGTGTTTGGCTTTGAACCTTCCCTTGTAAGACACTATCGGATTTATTGGCTAATCAGTAAACATGATGTCTTGAACTGTTCAGCCATTTGTGTAAACCAAGACAATAAAACTCACACAATATATCACCAAACACAGTTTAATTATCACTATTGTGTTTATTTTGACCCTGAACAACCTGGTGTAGACCGCCCCAGAACTCTCTCTGCGCGGTCCCCCTTTCGGAGAGGGCACGAATTGGGTTCATAGCTACTACAATTCGGACTCCTGTCACGGTTCTGAATCTAATCTCACAAAGTGCAATGTAAGACTGATAAATCACCAAAGAGTCCAAATCTGGCAAATCGTTTTGAAAAATTGATTTTTATCAAAAAGCGTCAAACATGGACTGCTTTGCCAGATTTCAGAGTCGCCACCTAAATGTTTTATTTTGGAAAATTTAGGAAACCTTGACTCATGCCTAAGACTACGTGTCTGTCATCACCAAAGTTGCCTCGACTCGGAAACTTGGGTACAAAAGGGGAAGGTCATGAAATGATCACCCCCACTCACCCGATCAAAGGATCAGCCTCTACTGATCATGATATGTTATTTTTGAAAACATATGTGTTCTTGTTCCGGTTATTAGCTAGCTTACTATGTGATACGCACAGCATACAAGTATAGACTCAATCACGCGGATTGGAACAAAACAACTTATGTTTGTTTTGAAAAATGGTTTGAAAGTGCTACTCACAAGTAGGCTAAAGCGCGGATTTGCCATCCTCCAGTGGGCTTAAAACAACATGATTTGCCACTTCGCAAAGTGGGCTTAAAACATACATTTGATGAATTGTTCCAATTCAAGCAATCAAGCCTTCACCCACAGGCATTCATGCAGTTAATCACTTAAGCATGCTAACATGGCAACACTCACACTCATGCAGGTATGCTAAAGCGTAAACACTTACAGTGTACTCCGAGCCAAAAAAGAAGCTAGTTAGAAATCAATGCATGATCCTAGCTATGTTAGCAATGCCTAATGTAACACATGCAAAAATGTAACTAAATAGGCTCGGTTATCTAAAATGGCATATGAATGCAACAATTTGATACACGTATTCAAATAGGTATTGAAATATGATGCAGTTTGAATGATGCGCCGAGCCCGGTGCATGCAAGACAAATGAATGATGCACGCATGCAAGCATAAGGTATGCTAATCGAAATATGCCCTAATCTAACTACTGAAAGCGGGTAAATAAAAGGGAAAAAGACGTGGGGCTGGAAGACATTCACACGCGCACTCACACTTATTACAACATTTGCCCTCTCAACAGAGGGTCCGAATAAATAAGCTAAGCTACACTAAGCTAAGCTACTTATTACAAAACGACTAATTAACTAACTTAGCTAATTAAATATTACAACACATTTGAACTAACTAGCTAATCTAAGCTAATTAAATTATTACAAAAGTGGATTAAATTAGCTAAGCACATTAACTAATTAATTACAAAAATCGGCAAATTAACCAACTAAGTAAAGCAGTTAAAATGGCCTCGAGGGGAGGGAAGAATGCATGCTCGGTCGCGTCCTCCCGGAAATCCACTACCTAGCCTCAAGATGCCTCTGTTTGCACATCTTTGGACCTCTGAAAATTATGCCAACTTCCAGAATGCCTCTGACCCATCTCAGGAACATGCTGAGGGATAGTCGGCCATGATTGGTGGTAATCAGCCAGTACTGATGGTCAGTCGGCAGACTTGGTGGCCGGTCGGTTGGCTTGGATGGCCGGTCGGCCACTGCTTCCTGAAATTCCTTCTTTTTGCTACAACAGAGCACAAACAGAGGTATGGCAGTGTATTTGCAAGGAATGTGTGTGCAACAACCCTCCTTATCATATCTCAAGCTCAAAGGAGCATAGTATTCGGCTCTCAAGCCACCAACCACGCATCTCAATGCATGATAGCCAAAGAGCCAAGCTTGCACAATGTTAGTGAATGCACGCATAAGACTCAAAGTGTCGTCACCCTATCATGCATGATCAAAGGTGACAACGACCAAGAAACACAACACGTTTCATCACTTGGAGTATGAAACGTGCCACATTCTTTGTGTTTGGATTAACGTCCGATCCAAACACATGCAATGCAACACACACATGTTATCTTGGCATGTTTTGTTTACACATTTTAGATTACCGATTAGCCCTTTAATCGATTAAGTCCAAAGTGATAGTCCTCTAATTGGAAAGAAGACTTGAACCACAAGCGTTTTGAGCATGAAAGAGACTTCATGCCATTGGTAATGAACTCTCGAAAGAATTAAACCATCGGCGTAAATGCCTCAATTTCACTCTCAAACCAACAAAGGGTTCAAAGTCGCTTTCAAAACAAAGTAACAATTGAAGAATGGAGTGATATGACATGCATTTCAACACTGAAATAGGATGCTAAATGACATTAAACCATGCAAGCAACGCATGCGCAACATGTTAAGGGCCAAAAACGTCAAAGATAGTAAAGAGCATCACACAAGAGGCTTGCAATACATAGCCTAAACAGCCAAACCAACTCAAAACAGAGCTACATCATGCCAAAACAGTGACAAAAATCATATCGGAAATGAAGCACAAAAAGCTACAACAACATGCTCATGCATTGGCTCACAAGCTAGGCATAAAGGCACAACTCTTAAACACAATGAAAGAGTGATAAACATGAGAGTATGACAGTGAAACATGCTCTGAAATCACATATTAGATGATGCCATATCATGCAAATAACCCAAGCAAAGCATGCTAGTGGACTCAAAACACAAGACTAGT